CCGCAGGAGCGCGCGGCGAGCTTCGTGGGGGGGCCGTTCGGGCAGATCGGTTCCCTCTGCAGGTGCGGCCTTAGCCGAGGTGGTGGTCGACTACGCGGGCGAGCCTGTTGCGATGGCGCTGCCCTGCGCGCTCGCGGAGCTCAAGCCAGGGCTGCCCCAGGCCGCGCACGCCGCGACGCTGGGGGCGCTAGACTTCGTGGGGCCCGACGCGGCGGAGTGGCTCTCGATACCGGAGAAGGCCGCCCTGCCCGAGATGGACTGGCCCGACCCGTTGCCGCCGGCGAGGGCCAACGTCGAGTCCGAGGCTGCGCGGCGCGAGCTCATTGTCCATCTCGTTGATCTTGAGATCTCCGCGGCGCTGCCCGAGGTCATCCGAGCGCGAGGCGAGCTGCTCCTCAACGGTCTCGTCGCCGTCGAAAAGGAGGGGGGGGCGGCGGGCCCTGGGGCCGCCCGCGTCGCCAGGCTCATCTTGAACATGGCCCCAAGCAGCGCATTGCTCAAGCCGCGCGCGGGCGAGGCGGCGGCCCTGGCCAGCTCGACGAGCTGGGTCTCGCTCCGCCTTCCCGAGGAGAAGCTGCCGCCGCGGTCGGGCGACGACCAGAAAGGGGCCTCTTCGTCTGGAGGGCACCTGCGGCCTGGCATCCCAACATGGCGGTGGGCAGGCCACTCCCTGGCGCCTTCTTCGGACGCCCCGAGCGCCTGGTGCACCTCGCGTCGGCGATTATCGCGATGAGCTTGATGCTGGCCGCGCCCGTCCACCAGCGCCGCCTGCCGCCGCCGTCAGGGGCGGGCCTGCCGCCCGAGCTCGAGCGGCGGAAGGGCGAGGCCCGCCCAATCGTCGAGGCGGGCAGCGGGCGCGAGGCCGGCCGGCGGCAGGTCTACATCGACGACTTCGACGCGCCCGAGATTGCGGGGGAGGCGTGCGCCTTGCGGCCTATCGGCGCGCAAGCGTGGCGCATTCGGCCGAGAAGGCGCACCTGCGCGAGCTGGGGTTTGAGCGCATGGGCGTGGACGTCGACGGCGAGAGCGGGGGGCTGGCGGCGCCGCGGCAGAAGGCCCTGGCCACGGCGGGCCTCTGCCTCGCGACGCTGGCGCTGGAGGCCGTGCCTTGGCGAGTGCGCATGACGGTTCTTGGCAAGCTCGCGCGGGCCCTGGAGTTCAGGCGCCCGCTGTTCGGCTTGCTGAACTCCATCTGGGCGCTCTCGGGGGCGCGCGCGGCCGTGCGCTACAACGCCGAGATGGTCGCGGAGCTGGTCCTCAGCCTCACGTTGCTGCCCGTGGCCGCCACCTCTCTGCGCAGCCACGTCGACGGGATGGCCGCCGCGTCGGGCGCCTCAGAGTTCGGCGGCGGCGTCTACTCGTCGACGGGCTTGAGGCTAGGTGCTCACGTGGCCCCGGCGGCGCCCCAGGCGGCCTCGGCCCAGGCGGCCTCGGCCAGGCCTCGGCCCGCGCACCTGGGGGTCGGCGCGAGGCTGCTCAACGTGCCGGTGGACCCGCGGCGCCGGTGGACGATGTCCAACCCGCGCATCCCAGCCTCGGTCGTCGCCAGGGTCGTCAACGCGCTCGTCATCGGCCTGTTCGACGGCACCAGGGGCCTCGCGGCGGCCTTCTCGCGGCTGCCCGCGCGGGTCTCCTACACGAAGGCCGAGACCGACGCGAAGGCTAGACGGGTGGTCAGGCTGCGATGGCCCGGCACGATCGATTGGGGCGACGTTGCGCGCGTAGACGAGCCGTGCGTTGAGGACCTGGTTACCGCCTCCGGCCAGGTCGTCGACGCGCGCGTCGCGGGCGCCGGCAGCCCGCGCCAGGACTTCTCACGCCTCAGCGCGGGCGGGGACGGGCTGCGAGCACGCAAGAGCTCGCTGTTCTTCGAGGTCCCGAGGATCTTCGACCTCCTGCGGCGGGCGTTTGGAGCGAGGCTGCACACTCTGCTCGAGCATGCGGCGAGCATGTCAGAGGCCAACGTCCAGGCGATCACTAGGCGGATGAAGGTTGTGCCCTACCTGATCTGTTCGCCCGCCCTCGCCCCGCGCCGCAGGCCGCGGCCCCATTGTCTCAGCTGGCAGTTGCACCTCACCGCTCCGCGCAGCGCTGTTGACAATGGTTTCTGCCTGGAGGTCATCGCGGAGATAGGCTCGGCGATCGACCTCGACTGGAAAACGCCAGCTGGCGCTGGAGAGGGCGGCCCGCCCCTTTCCCCGCGCTCGCGTGCTGCAGGCCGCTGCCGAGTTTCCCGTCAGCCGCGCGCGGGCTCGCCCTTGCCTCGTGCAAGGCCAAGGGCCGCTGGCAGGCCGACTCCTTCCTCATGTTGCGCTGTGCGAGGAAAAAAACCTCGCGCGCTGTCTCGCAAGTGAAAAGCCTGGGCGACTGCCAAACTCCGGGGAGAGAGAACAAACGATTGGGGTCCACTGCCGCAGCCACGAGAGCTCGAACCCAGGGGACGCGGCGGACGCCAGGTGCTTCCTGCTCGGCAACAGCTTCAGCGTGTATGCCGTGGCATGGGGTTCGCAGCACGTCCTCGTGGCGGAGGGTGCTCTTGCGCGGCCCTTGGCGATCAAGGAGCTTGCGCACCCGGGGGAGTGCCGCCAGACCTGGGACCAGCGCGGGACCTTCGAGGACGGCGCTGGCTGCCCAGACAGGGAGGAGGCGAGGCGCCTGGTCCTGTTTTACTTCAGCTGTGCCGAGAAGGGCGGCTCGGACATTCGCTTCGATTGCGGCCTGCCCTACCGCGCAAGAGGCCGGCCGCGGTCGAGCCCGGCCCCTTTCGCGCGGCGGTGGCGAGCGGCCCTCAGCACGGCGTGGCCTCGCGAGAGGCGCGCGCGCATCAACGTGTGCGAGCTGCAGGCGACGCTGGCGGCGCTGCGCTGGAAGGCGCGCAAGTGCGCGCGGCATCGCTCGCGCTGGTTCCATCTCGTCGACAGCCAAGTGGTCGCGGCCATCGCGACGAAGGGCCGCAGCAGCAGCCGCCGCTTGCAGCCAGCTCTCAAGCGCTGGATGGCCATGGCGATCGCGGCGGACATGCACCCTCTCATCGGCTACGTCGCCTCGGAGGACACTCCCGCGGACGAGCCGTCGAGGAAGCTGCGGCGTGGGTCGCGGCTCAGGAGGCGCGGCGCGGGACCGGCCGCTGCGCGCCCGCGCGGGGCACCGCTGCTGCGCTGAAGCGGCGGAGCCCGCGCGCGCAGCCGCTGCAATCCGAGAGCCCCCGAGGCGCTACGAGGTGAGCTGAGCCCCCAGGACATCGGCGCGCTCGGCGACGACGGGGAGGGCGCCGACGACAGCCTCGTGGCCAGCTATCTCGAGGCAAAGTGGAGCGAGGGAGCTGGCATCGCGCTCGCCAACAACACAGCGGCGGGCGTGGGCTCTGCGGCGCCCAGGATGCGGCGGCGCCTGGGCCTGTCACGGGCGCTGCTGAAGGCGCGGCGCTGCACTGGGCCCGCATGTCGGGCTTTGCCCCTCACGCCCGAGATTGTCGGAGCCATGGCCGGCCTTGCAGCAGCGGCGGCGGGTTTCGACGTCGGGCGCTTGCGTCTCATCAGCCTCGAGGGCCTGCGGCGCGACTGCGAGGCCTTCGCCCTGCGCGCAGAGGACGCACTGGATCGAGGCGAGGTCATTTTCCTGGGATCAGCACGTTCGCGGAGGCAAGGATGGCGCCGAGGCCGTCGTCATCCGTTCGCGCGTCGCAAAGTAGATGCTGCGACCGGTGGCGCGGCATCGGCGAGCAGACGAGCCCCTGTCGCGGAGGTCGCCCGCCCAGCGGAGGAGCGCGCTGGCGACCTTGACGCGCGGGCTGCGCCTCCCAGGCCCGTTCTCGCGGTACTCGTGCCGCCGCGGTGGCGCGTCCGACTTGTTCCTGAAGTCGTCGTCCATGGAGGCCATGCTCGTCGCAGGCCGGCGGGCGTCGTCCATGGCAGCGCGGATCTACGTGGAGGGCGCTGTGGCCGACCTGGTGAAGGGGCGGCCCGAGGACCAGGCCGCCTCGGCCGCGCAGCACGGCCTAGCACTGCTGCGCGCCTCCTTGCGGTGCATTGTTACCAGTTTAGAGAACAGCAAAGAGCAAGCCTTGGAATTAGAGTGGGGGGGGTCCAAGTGCATTTCCCACACGGATTTGCAGAAGCCAAAGAGGAAGAAGGTGGTGTAGCAAGTTTCCCCCTTTTCCGAGCGTGTGTGCCGAACGTGTTCCATGCTGTCCCCCACTGCCTGTGCGGCCCTCGAGGCCTCGAGACTCCTGGTGAGGCGTAGCGTGGCTGTTGGGGTGAATGTGGCAGGGGCGATTCGGCGGCGCGCTGGGGGGGGAAACGAGCTAATAGACCATTGGCGTGGTCACGCGCGCGGAAGAACAGTATGCCCGAATACAAACCTGCATGGTCATTCCTTACCCCCGTGAAACGCGAAAAGAACGCCATCTTCCGTTCCACATATGGTCTGGTTCCCACCCGCTTGCCACCCGCAAATCATTGCTGTAGAAGCCGGTTCAACGCTTGCCTGAGGTGCCGTAGCCCAATCAGGTTCAGCAGGTTTCCCCTTTCCGGACGTGCGTGCCGAACGTGTTTCCTGTTGTCCCCCAGTGCTTGTGCAGCCCTCGAGGCTCTCGGTGAGGCGTAGCGTGGCTGTTGGGGTGAATGTGGCAGGGACGATTCGGTGGCACGTTGGCGTGGGGGGGGGGACGAGCTACGGACCATTGGCGTGGTCACGTGCGTGGAAGAACGGTGTGTATACATTTGTATAGTTACACACATACGTACATGCATACGTACATACATACATACATGCAAGCATACATACACACATACATACAAACATGCCTACCGACCTACCTACCTACCGACCTACCTACCTGCCTACCTATTTACCTACATATACATACATACATACATACATATACATACATACATACATACATGCATGTGTATACTAACCGGCATATGTTTAGAAATGGTTGGGTACATCACCGGGTATTTCACGACGCCAGCATGCCTGGTCTCCCATCTGTCGTTGAGCTGACGTCCGCCGACAGGTCCTCGGCACCGTACTCGGCGGCCGCAGGACCTTCCAGCGCCTGGCGGCCCTCGCGCCCTTGGTCCGGGGGAGCACCGCCCCGCTGCAGCCGGCGTTCCTGCGCGCCGTCGGCCCCGAGGCGACCGCAGCAGGCCTGGCGCGGGGCCGTCTCGATACGGTCGGTCCGCTTCCGCACTTTTCAGTCGGGCCTGTCCCTTTACAGAAGGAATATTCGAAAGTAGTTCATAGTTCAAAAATCGTCGGTGGACGATGTTTTGAGTATTTCGGATCATTTGTTGGGCACTTTCCACTATTATTCATTTTCGTTCAAAACCCGCCTGCAGGAGGACACGCCCAACACAACTTTACACCACCCAGACGGGGCCCGAGCGGATGGAGTCGAAGGATCGCGCCGCATCGCCGTTGCATCGCCAGTGCGGTGCGACGTGGAGTTTGATGTTATCCCCGTCGACGTCGCCGATGCATCGGCGATGCGTCGGCGATGCAGTTCGATCTTTCGAACCCGTCTAGTCGGACTCCAATTTAGGAGGCTCCAACTGCGGTGCATCGATGTCAGTCGGCCTGGGCCGATTTGATGCAGCCCCAGGCGTTTTGATGAGAAAATGTTGTCGGTATCGCAGCGACGGTAGACCGTTTGAGATTAAACGTCGCCTGCCCAACAGCGGCCGCAGTTGGACAACATTTGTTATTGGACATCCTACATCGTACCCAGTTATGCCGTATCCATGCCGGCCGTGGCGACACTTCCGACGAAACGATGTGTGTTAAAATTGTCGCGTGTCTACTCAATGTTTCTGGGGCCCATTATGGGGCCCCGGGGCCATCAGAAGTGGATCGGGAACGAACAAATATCGTTGGATACCCACGGGAAAACACAATACAAACCCATACCAAGAAGCACCCTGCTTGCCTTCAGGGTGCCCTGAGTTTCTTGGGTTTCGATGGCTCTGCCATGGCCAGCGCGACGTCCCCATACCAAAAATATACATGGGACGCCCTGGGGTCTCCGGGCAGGGCTTCTTGCGGCAAGTTTCTTGCGGACTGGCCTCCGCTGTATCCCGACGATCTCGTGTAGCCCGAGGCTCGCGCTCCTGCGCCGTGGTGCGAGCCCTGGCGCGGCCGACCCCCGACACCGGGTGCGACTCGCCCTGGCCGCTGCGGCCCGAGTCGACGCGCGCTTTGCTCCGGCCCGCTTCGTCGCTTCGCTTCGGCGGCGGGCCTGGGGAATGGGTTGGGATTTTCGGGAAGGGGTGGGGAGGGGAGGGGGGGGGGGCGCATCGAAAAAGTACCGGGCGTCGGATGTCGGGGTAGATGCCCCTGCGGCCTTTCTGGCCCTCCATGGAAGGGAGAGGCCAGGAAGGCCAGGGGGAGGGGAGGACGAATCTCGACCACGGCCACGACTGCGACGAACAGGAGGCCAGGGCGAGGGGTGACAGGCAGGCCAGGGATGAGTTCCCTCTCCCCCCCCCGTCTGTGATTCACGCCCCCCATCCCCTGAGTTCCAGAGGAGGGTGTCGGCGGCGAGCACGGGGGGGAAATGAGAAGGGGTGGGCCTTCCCAGAAGGCTCGGAAGTCCACCGGACGTCTGCCGAGAGGGTGCCGAATTGCCTTCCCCGAAGACGAACACACAAATTTTCCAGGAGGCGCGAGGGCGTATCTGAGAGGTCCCGCCGCCTTCTGACAAGGCCTCCTCCTCATCATTGCTCCCCCTCGCTCGCCGCCGATCGATGCCGACCGCTGGTGCAGGCTCTGGCGCGGGGCCGCACCCGTTCCTGCTGGTGGAGGAGCGGCCGCTGCCGCCGCCACCCGAGAGGTCGCCAGGATCGCGAGGTCGCAGCTTGCCGCGTCGCCCGCGTCCAGGCATCCATGCCTCCCAGGTTCGGCGGCGAGCGAGGGTGGGAAGCAGAAGGCCCCCTCAGAAGGTTCGGAAATCCCCCGGCCTTCCGAGAAGTTTTCTAAGCCTTCTCCGAAGGCCAGAAGGAATTCTGAGAAGGCGCGAGGGCTTCTGAGAAGTCCAGCCGCCCTCTGAGAAGGCTTTCTCCTTCTCACTTCCCCCCCTCGCTCGCCGCCGGCGGACGAGGTCCGAGCAGATGGGGTCGGAGGATCGAGCCGCATCGCCGACGCATCGGCGATGCGGCTCGATGTGGAGCCTGATGTTCCCCACGCCACAGGCGCCGATGGATGAATCGCCCACGTCGCCGGTGCAGGGGCGATTCGGCGCGACCCTCTGGCGCCATCTACTCGGACCCCATCTAGGAGAAGTAGCATCAGGCGACGAGGCAGGCAAAGTGAGCCAGGTCGCCCACGCATAAGCTGTCGGATGTCCGCGCGGACTATTCCCCGTGTCGGCGCTGGACACCCGTTGGTGGCGCCTCCAGCGCCGCCCACTGCGCCCTTCGCGTTCTGGGGAACAGGAGTCCAGCGCTGGCCCAAGAAATCCACGCGGACCTCCGAAAGTGCGTGCCTGTGTTTGTTGTCTGCTTGTTCTTCGAAGGTGGGCCTTGGGTCGGTTGGACAGCTGATGCTAGCCCCTTTGGGCTCCCGGAGGCCTCTAGTGGACTCGACTGGACCCCATTCGGCCATTCTTCCGCCAGTTATGGGCCTCAAGGGAATGGTCCTTGGCCCCACGGGACGTCAGAACACATCCCCAGACGAAAAATTGGCCTTAGGGAAGAAATGGTCGAGAGGTCTGGAGGCCCATGTCTTGCAACTAGTCGAGCCGCTGGATTGCTGGAGCTGTTTGGGGGTCCATCTCGGAGTGGAGGCCGCCAGTGGCATGGCGGTGGCGCACCTTTTGGGCCTCTCTTGCGGGTGCGCTCCAGGGGCACCGTGGGCCCCTGCTGGCAGCCTCGCAGACCTATGGGGTCGCAGTGAATCAGCGGTACTGAGGCACGAGAGTTGCGGTGGGTTGGTGGACAGCGGGGACGGGCAGCGCAAGGCACAGGCGCAGGACGGAGAGGAAGTGGAGGCGAGGTGGATGACCAATGCGGGAGGATACGAGAAGCGGGGGGCGGAGAGGGAAAGAGGGGAGGGGCTATGACGACGGTCGACGACGACGACGGTCGACGACGACGACAAGGACGACGACGTCGTCGTCGACGACGACGACGACGGTCGCCGACGGCAACGACGATCAACGATGACTAGGACGCCATTGACGACAACGACGACGACCACGACGAGGACGAGGACGAGGACGACAACTACGACGACGACGACGACGATGGCGACGACGACGGCGACGACGACGCCGACGACGACGACGACGACGACGACGGTCGATCACGACGACGGCCACGACGACGACGACGACGACGACGACGACGACGACGACGACGACGACGACGATCGATGATGCCAGCGGCGGTTGACCACGACTGCTACGACTTAACGACGACAACCCCATTCAAGCATCAGCCTCGGATGTTTGCCGGTGTGTGCGTTTCGAGCAGGATTTCTGGGGGAATCCAGACAGACGACGAGAAAGTTCCTGGAGGCCCGAAAGGAACCAAAGAACGCCCAATAGCATCAATCCTAGAACCTCGATCCGTGCCACGACAACTACGACGACGATGATGAGGACTTCAGCCAACGACGACGACGACCCCTCGACCTGTCCTGAGCTGCGTTCCGAAGCCGTGGCCATGAGGGCGACCTCGGAGAACAATGCTCGAACCTCGATCCACCATCTATTGATTGCGACGGTCGACGACGACGGCGACGGCGACGGCGACTGGGTGTCTTCAACCCGCCCTTGACGACGATGACAACCGCGGCGCCGACGACGGCGGTTTGGCGCCGTCAACCTCCCCCTCGGTGACGACAACGACGGCGGCGACGGCGACGGCGATCGGAGTCGACGGCGACTGTCGAGGACGACGACGACCATCACCACCACCACGACGACCACGACGACCACGACGACAACGACAACGACGACGACGATGACGACGACCACGACCACGACCACGACGTCGTCGACGTCGAAAGTCGACAGTCGACAGCCGACAGTCGACGCCGACGACGGCCGCCGCCGCCGCAGACGACGGCGTCGACTACGACGACGACGACGGCGACGACGACGACGGCGACGGCGACGGCGACCGGTCGACGGCGGCGGCGACCTGGGCGCTGTGCCAGGAGCCGGCCGCGGACAGCGAGCTGGTCGCGGGGCCCTTCGCCCGCGAGGGCGAGGGCGGGGCGACGGCGGGGGAGGTGCTGGAGGCACGCCCGCTCCGTATGCCGGGCCCAGGCTCGAAAGCATCGGGACGGAGGTTTTTAATAGTTTTCGGCCTCCTCTGCGAACCCATCTTCTTACTCCTCCTCCTCCTCCACCTCCTCCTCCCCCTCCTCCTCATCCTCTTCCTCCTCCTCCACCGTCCTCCCCCCCCTGCTCTCTTCTCCCTCCTCCTTGCACCGAGCCTGTACCCCTACTGGGCCTCGGGACCGTCAAAACGACTCGGGATGGGAAGCCGGTCCTGGGGTGGTTGGGAGGTCGGGGGCTCGTGTCTCGAAGAAGTCGAGACGCCGGATGTGTGGGGGGGGAGGGGTCCACCCTCCAAGGGGGGGGAGACTCCTCCTCCCTCATCCTCCTCCTGCTCTTCCTTCTTCTCCTCATCCCCTCATCCTCCTCCCTCTCTGCTCCTCCTCGTCCTACTCCCGCAGAGGGAGGAGGAGGGAGTGGTGCAGGGAAGGGAAGGAGGGGGGAGGAGGGGAGGGGGGGGAACAGAGGGAAAGGGGCTGGAGACGCCTGGCCGATTTTGGGACTCCGGGGGGCCCTCGCAGGGCCCTGGGGCCGTCACAGAGTTCATCGGCATGAAAGATCCGGTTCTCGGGAAAGGATCCCGACCTCTGGGGAGCCACGTCGTGAAACATCACGACTCTATACACCCTAGGCGATACTTAAGAAAACTTAAGTTTTTGGCGAGAGTCTCGATTATTCTTAATGTTTCAATGTAAATCCTAAGATTTTGATAGAAGTTCTGGGTTTTTATTCAAATTCTGAGACTCTGAGTTTCTTAACCCATGATTTCTTGAGCATTTCGCAGGGTGTATACGTCTGGGTCTGTGGGAGGGTGGGCGGGAGGGGGGGGGGGAATCCCCACCCTTTGGGGGGGAGGCGAGAGGGAGAAAGAACAGGCAGGTATAACAGCTCCTCCCTCCTGCTCCCCCTCCGCCGAGGGGGGGGGAGGAAGTGGGCATGGGAAGAGGGAGGGCAGGAGGGGCAGGCTGAGTGCGTTCGCGCCATATCTGACATCCTACAGGGGAGGCCAGTCCACAAGAACACCTTGCACAAGAAAGCCGACCCTTAGATCCCAGGACGTCCTCGATCTTTGATGTGGGGCCGTCACGCTTTCCATAGCAGAACTATCGAAGCCCAAGAAACCTTGGGCACCCTGGAGGCAAGCAGGGTGTTCCTTGGCATGGGTGTCCACTGTACCCTTCCCACCCATGCCTTTCCATTGCGTCGCTGTTTCTCTATTCGCCGATGCGTGTCTCAGCGGAGCTGGAACTCCAAGTGGGACCTCATCGTGTTACGCGCAGTCAGAAAAGTGGATTTGCGCACATTGGAGAGCGAGGGGGAAGTCCTCGTGCACATCGGTAACACATACTTCGGCGACCTGAAGAACAGGGGCATGCCAATTCTGGCAAATCGGTTGCGCTGCGCATGGACGAAGTACTCCGTTGTGGTCTGACCAACAGGCACGTGGATCTGGCTTTTTCAGATCCCGCCTATTTGACAGCATCGACACGCCCACTGCACTGCACGGCCTCGCGACAGCTCCCCTGACATCTGCTGACATTGAAAAGCTCGCTACCACGCAGCGGCACATGAGATGTACAGCTGTTTCTGTTAAGCAGGAATGTGATGAATGGTCCGAAGTGTACAGGTGTGTCCGGGGCAAACTTCAGCGTCCATCTCTCCGACTCCGGCGCCCATCTCTCCGACGCCGGCTCTCAAGTTTCCGACTCCGGCGCCCTTCTCTCCGACTCCGGCTCCCAACTTTCCGACTCCAGCGTCCATCTCTCCGACTCTGGCTCCGACTCGTCTTCTGAGGGGCCCCGGCCCCCCCGCGCTGCCCTCATAGGGCCGGTCCCGCTGGACCGACATCGCGCGCTCGCTCGCTCGCTCGCTCGCTTCAGCAAACTTTACTGCGCTGGCCTATTAGATTATGGGCAGATGTGTTTCGCAAGCTCAAGCAAAGCAAAGGTTACACTCCAAGCTGCAGTGCACTAGCCCGAACAAGTTGACGCATATGGCTGCCAAGTGGAGCCCAGGAGACATGATTGATTCGAAGTTGCCTGCAGGGCCGAAGCGTTCCAGAGGCGGGCCATACACAACTTGGGACTGCATGAAATGAACAAATGTTCCACCCGAGTACAATATTGGACCAGGCCTAGTGCTCGATCGGAAATTGTGTACGTTGGAGGTGGATGTGGATGAGTAGGAGGATGAGCGAGAAGAAAAGGAGGTGGATGAGGAAGGAGGAGGACGAGGACGCAGGAGCTGGAGTGGAAGGCGCGGAAGCAGCAGGAGGACCAAGGGCAGGCGGAGGAGGGGAAATGAGGGAGCGACAACGATGGAGAAGGACGTGGATCCAGAAAAGTGCCCCGCGCTGGGGCGCGAGCGCCACTCTGAACGACAGGACAAATCGCTAACCGAAAATTAAGCCCACGTTGCAGCGGGAGGGGAGCACCATGTTGAAACACCGAAGATAATCGGTTTTAGAAAACCATAAGCAGGATCACCTTTGTTAAACCCTGTGTGAAGAAAACAATACGCGGAGATGGCTGAGCATCATTCGAACAGAGTCAGGGGAGGGAGGACAGCAGTATTCATATTGAGACACTGTGGAAGAGCAACGAGCACGTAGAGAGACGCGCCGAGTTCGGATTCAAGGTCTGAAAGAGCGTTGGGAAAATGTGAGAAGCAGAATCAAGCACAGAACGCGAGGAGGAGGAGGAGGAGGAGGAGGAGGAAGAGGAAAAAGAGAAAGAGGAGGAGGAGGTGGAAGAAGGGGTCTTCCACCCCACGGAGGGGGAGCAGAAGGGTGAGGAGGACGATGCCTGAGCCTCCAGAGACTGGAGACAAGGCGGCCTTGACAGCCTCTGCGGGCCGCGTCCCGGCCCCGTGGCCCGTCAGATAACTACTCGGGATGCTAAACCGGTCGCGGGGAAGGGTCAAAAGGCCCAAGGCCACGGAATTTGAGCATGTCGAGCTTTTCTTGTGGGAAGAAGGGGGCGGGCTGGAGAGGAAGGGGAGGAGAACGAGAACGAGGAGGAGGAGGAGATTTGAGCGGCACTGAGGCGAGAGCCACATGTAGGAAACGAGCCCTCATCCGCGAAACTGCTGCACATTCTGAGCTTCAGGGTCACCACTCGTGAGGAAGTCCCAGGCGAAACGCCCAGCTCGCCCTACCGACACGTCTCGGGGTTCGACATGGAAGAGTTACTTAGAAGGAAAGGGGCTTAAAGGGGAAAAGAACGAGAAAAAACAAACTCACCCTTCCCTCTCCCCAGCCTCCCCCCCCCTCCTCCTCCTCCTCCTCCATCAGACCCATAAGTTGCCCCCTCCCTTCCCCCTCCCTCCCTCGCCGCTTGCCCGCACCACTCACGCAGAGTCCCACTCCGACGGCGCTGGCCGCGCTGCCGTGCTGGCATTTTTGTTCAGAAGTGCGCCAAGAGAGGCCAGACGCGGCCCGAACGTGGCCCGTGGCGGGCGCCAGAGGGTCCAAAAGGGGCTCTCAGAGAGGCCCCGCGCGAGGCCCAGAGGGTCCGAGGATGGGCTCCAAAGAGAGCCCGAGAGAGGGCCCAAGCCACAGAAGGAAGCGCTGGAGCAGGGGGAGCACCGAGAGAGGTGCCAAAAGCACGTTCAGGGAAGCCCAAGGAGGTCCTCGAGATGCTCGTGCGTCTGTGCCCCATTTTCTTGGGGCATCGGAGCGCCTCTGCTGGGAAACGGGTCCTCCACGCCATCCTTCCCCAGGACCAGCTTTAAATCATGAGCCGTTCAGACGGTCCTGGGAACTGGGCGGGGGGCCCTGCCTGGGTTGAGAAAGCATCGAACAAAAGCCATGAGCACTTTCCACCTAGGACCCGTCTTATTGTTTGTGCATGTCTAGGGGGCCTCCACAAGGTTCGAAGGTCTGGCTGGCCCTATTCACCATACACAGACGGAACCAAGGGTCTGGCTGGGCGCCGGGGCCTCCGGCGGCTTCCGCGGCAGGCCCCGGCTGGGAGGGCAAGAGAGAAAGGAGGAAGAACGAAGGATGGAGGAAGGAGGGAGGAGGAGGAGGAGGAGAGACGGGAGAGGGAAAGGGGGAGGAGGAGAGAAGGGGGTATCGAGTATCGAGCTATTCGACGTAGTCGAGAAACAAACTAGAGGCGGCTTCGCTGCTCAGCTTTGCTAAGAAGCTTTGGCCACTTCCCCTGCTCAATTCGATCGAGGCACTCGCGGAGCAGGAGACGAAATCAATAAGTGGGCGGAGGAGAGGCAGAACCAGGGCGAAGAAAGGGAGGCTCGAGGATTGAGGGCACCTTGCGGCGGAGGGGGGAAGGGGGTAGGGGAGGGGCAGTGGTGGGGGGAGAGGAGAGGAAGTGGGAGGCAATCTATCAGCCACGTGCAGAGGGGGGTAGGGTTAAGTCGGGCCTGTCTGGTCGTAGTAGTAGTAGTAGTAGTAGTAGTAGTAGTAGTAGTAGTAGTAGTAGTAGTAGTAGTAGTAGTACGAGTACTAGTACTAGTACTAGTACTAACACTAGTAGTACTAGTAGTAGTAGTAGTAGTAGTAGTAGTAGTAGTAGTAGTAGTAGTAGGAGCAGTAGGAGTAGTAGTCGTAGTAGTCGAGAGTCGGAGTAGTCGTAGTAGTCGTAGTAAGGTCGTAGTAGTTGGTTGAGTAGTAGGTTGGAGTAGTAAGTAATAGTATATAGTAGGAAAGAAGTAGTAGTAAAGTAGTAAGTAGCTAGTAGTAGTAGTAGTGCCCTAGTAATCCTAGTATCCTAGGTAGTCCCTAGGAGTCCTAGTAGTCCTAAAGGAGGTCCCTAGTAGTCCAGTAGTCCTAGTAGTCCTAGTAGTCCTAGTAGTCCTAGTAGTCCTAGTAGTCCTAGTAGTCCTAGTAGTCCTAGTAGTCCTAGTAGTCGTAGTAGTAGTAGTAGTACGAGTAGTAGTAGTAGTAGTAGTAGTAGTAGTAGTAGCAGGAGTAGTAGTAGTAGTAGTAGCAGTAGTAGTAGTAGTAGGTAGTAGTAGTAGTAGTAGTAGGTAGTAGTAGTAGTGATAGCAGCAACAATAGTAGCAGTAGTAGCAGTAGAGGCAGTAGACGCAGTAGTAGTAGTAGTCGTAGTTGTAGTAGAAGAATTAGAAGTAGTAGTAGTAGT